TGTTTGGAGGAAAGTTGGAGCCGGTACAGGCAACACAGAAAGGTACGTATTCTTTTTTATTTTTCTTTCTTTCTTGTTTTTCACATGTGGCCCTCATCTTTTACTGTATAATGAAAGTGAAGCTGATTTACACAGCTGACGTTAGCGTGCTAGAGACTTTGAGTTCTACAGGAGTAGTGTGTCCGTAGTAGTAATGTTAGCTAACGTTACTGTAACTAACGTTACTTTCCAGGACACCCCAGGTTTCAGTTCGGAGGCCTACTTTTCTGAATATTTTTTAAATGTATAATACAGAGGTCATGATTATGTTAAAGACTTACTCATTATAGACTTTCAACAGCTCATATCATAAATAATTTGATATTAGTTTTTTGGTTATAAAATTAAATATTATCTATTAGTGTTTAGAGCTGAACCGCTGTGAAACAATCATGAAATAATGTTTTCTCTGATTTGCCTGCTGTCTATCAGCGCTGAGCGCCGCCTCCTCCCATTCAGTCTGTACCACGGACACAACGCTGCACTGCCCGAGTCCGAGGAGGAGGACAGAAAAGACACTTTTGCTACTCATAATAAAAACTCCATGGGCTGCAATAATCCAAGACCAGAGGCTCACTGCAATTATAGGAAATATGCGCGAGTGGGATAAAAAAAAAATGAAGGTGAAAGTGATTACATCCAGCAAGGACTTTCACCCAATGATGATTATGATGATAATAATAAATAATAGCAATGATAATGGTAAATAATCTAACACAATACATTCATAAAAATGAAACAAAAGAGCCTAACATAGGAAACAGATTATCATGGCATTTATATTAAAATCCTAAAAACAAGGAAAATCAAAACAAATAAATCCACCATAAAAACACTTCCAAGACTTCTATTAAAGTTTTTTTTTAATGAATGTGGTTTTGATATGCTTTACATTTAGTTAAAAGGCAAGTTTCAATATTTTTAAGACAGCCAGTCTGTCATAATTTGTGCATACACATGGTCTGAGAAGTTCTAAATTTGTTTGCAGAATGAGGCCCAATGTGTACAGGTCCACAAGAGATGGCAGATTGCAACTGAAGGTCTTCTCTGCAGACTGGATAATGTGCTGCAGCCTGTTCTTGCTGAAAAATGTTGTCTCTTTATCTTTTTCTCCCTTTGTTTGTCAGGGTCAGCATCGAACAGCCCCACAGAAGAGGATCTGATTCGGAAGTATTTCCATCTAAAGAAAGAGAGGAAAATGGAAATCAATAAAATGTAACACATCTATATAATCTGTCATTTGACTTTATACGAGTCTACATGGTCACTGGTGTGTGAGCATAACTTCACTGTTTTCTGTTCCTTCTTAGACTTAAGACGTGTCTTTGAAAAGAATGTCTTTCTCTCCCTCTCTTTTATTTCCCTAAATTTAAGAAAGGACTCTACACCAGACCTTGCAATCTACAACTCAACGCTTCAATAAAATGTTAGACTTAATACAATATTAAACTGCTTTTGTTTTTTCTAGGTGTACCAAGTAAACTGTCAAGTCTCCATAAAAATGTAGACAGAAAGCATAATGATGAGACAAATGCAGTGAAGGACAGTGACTAAGACTATATATGATGATAACAACACTTGAAATTGGGTCACTCTGCATAATGAGTACTTTTAACTTTTCATTCATTCATTTCATTCGTGTCATCACGTCTCATCCTCATCCTCCGCCTCAATCTCCGCTGTCTTTCTCGGATCTGCCTGAGAGATGGGCAGCTGGGCAGCTGGGCAGCCTCCCCCTCAGCCTGCAGGTACAACAATCCTGCAGCAATAACATGCACCAAGACGCCTTCTCCGATCCATGTCCGTTATTGATGTTTGATTTCCATCTCACCAGTGCTCACGATCACAATAACCACCAACTCTCCACAAACTTTCCCCCCGCACCTGACTTGATTATTATCAGAGGCCAGGTGTCGGAATTGGATAGGCTATAGATTAAATATGATCAAACTGCGGGGAAAAGGTTTTAAAAGACATTTTATGAAACTATTTTGGCTATTTATATGTTTTTGTATGTCAGTTATATATGTTGAAACATTAAAAACATATGGGCCTACACATTAATTTCTTACAATGTCTATGAAAAGACGCAGGGCTGGGCTGTGTTTATACTGTTTTATTCTAAATTCATGTATACAACACTGTACAACAGCCAAGGCGAGCGGAGGTGGTGACATCATCAAGTTCGCTGCTGTTCCAAAAGCAGAAATGACTGTACTCCCGTCCTCTCGCGCAGACTTGCCAAGTCCGAACTTGCCAAGTCTACAAGTCTGAACTGCTGAACTTGTGTATAGAGAAACGGCTGTTGATACGTCCGTTGTCTCTCTCTCGGGTGGAAGCTCAGCACTGCCCCTAGAGGCCTGGAGCACTTCCGTTGTATGAGTGGATATGCAGCGTTTTAGTATGGTATAATTTTCAAGTGTAATACGACATCTAACATGACTAGCTTTTGTTGTTGTTTTTCATCTTAGGTCCATCTCCATCCTCTGCTCCATCCACTGTGCCCACTGTCGCCTCTGTGTTGCAGTTTATTTAAAACAAAAAATAATAAAGCAGATTGTGTTTACAGTAAATGATTGGTTTATTTCGTTACTTTTAGTTGGCCTAGATGACATTCGGTATTCCACTCAGTACTATATCACTTTGAATATTAAGTGTAAATCAACCCCAGGCTGTTCTTGTAGCTGAATTTGCTACCATTTCAGATTAAAAACCATAAATGGGTAAAACATGCAAGACTGCTCTTTGAGGTTTTATGTATTGATTCTCTGTGTGGCCAGTAGGGGGAGTTGCTGACTTTGCCAAATACTAATTGAAAGATTTTTCAGCAAGTTTGCAAATCTGTTGTCCGCTTCCTTGGCCTGAATCACTGTGGATTACAATCTAACTACAACAGAAAGTTCTCACATCTAGTTTTACAAGTGATGACTGAGTAGAACATGAAATAACTTATAGTAGGTGTGTGAATGATCAATAATCAGTATTATTGGCAGTAATAGAGGGCCCCAAAATCAAATTTTGCTTAGGGCCCCATGGAGGCTTAGGCCGGCCCTGGGTATGAGCTCTTGTTTTGAAAGAGAAAGAGGAAACTGGCACAAAACACACTCAACCCCCTGGCAAAGGAATATGCGCCTGCAGCCTGTAAAACACAACAGCGAAAGAACTGGTCAATGACACGAGATAAGCAAGAAGCAATGGAAATGCAAATAAGACAACCTGGAAAACAAATCTCAGCAGTAAAACGACAACCTGAAATACAATGTCTTAAGCCTTTGGAAACATCACAAGTTTGGCAGCCTGCTACAGCAACTGCTTGGGAAATGAGAAACTCAAAATAAGAGGCAACACATTCAGCGTCAGCACAGTGATCAGATTTTGACAACAACTGACAAACAATTGAGCAAGTCAGAGTCATACGATTACTAGGAATGTGGTTGGATGAAAAGTTGACTTGGAGGCATCACATTGATAAAGTATGGGATAAGTGCAAAAGGATCAACAATCTCTTAAGATGCCTGTCAGGAAGAGACTGGGGAGCAACCAGAGCATCACTGTTAAATATATATGAGACAATTATGAGAGCAACACTAGACTACGGGTGTATAGGGTATTTATCAGCAGCAGAAAGTCATCTTAAAAGCTGAATGTACAGCAGGCACAGGGACTGAGGATATATAATGGAGCATATAAATCCTCTCCAGTAGCAGCCATACAAGTGGAAATGGGGGAACAGAACAGAAGAATGAAACTTATGTTAGCATACTGGGTCAATCTTCAAGGGCACAGTACTTTAAAGCCTGCTAAAGCCATCCTGGAGGACTGTTGGGAACATAATGACTCTAATTTTATGAGCTTTGGGTGGATAGGGAACATAAAAGCAGAACAAGCAGGTTTAGATCATATACAATTCAGTCCGACAGTCCCATATTCACAAACTCCTCCCTGGCTATTTATAGAACCATCAGTAAACTTTGAAATACAGCAACAACTGAAGAAAAGGAGTGAGCAAGTCTCTGCTGGGAGGGTAGCTCAGAGTTATTCTGGAACGACACTTCTCAGACAAAACAATGAGTTTCACCGATGGGTCAAAAGACCCTGATACTGGATGAACAGGAGCTGCAGTTTTCATTCCACACCACAAAGTACATATCAAGAAAAGAACCACAGATCATTTATCGGTATATACAGTTGAGCTTTCAGCTATTATATTAGGTCTGGAGTGAATAGAAGAAAACAACCATAACAGTGCACTAATAGCATCACACTGTTTGGCAGCACTTACAAGTATTAAACCATGAAGTCATGTAGGCAAGATCTCATAACTGAAATACATAATCTACTGAACAGAATACACAAGAAGGGTCTGATGGTCTGCTTCATTTGGGTTCCTGCCCATGTAGGAATAGAAGGAAATGAAGGGGTAGATTTTCTGGCCAAACAATCACTTAAATCACACACTGTAGATACAGAAATTCTGTTAAGTAGGGCAGAGGGTAAATCAATAATTACGAAACATGTGGAAAAAGTGTGGCAAGAATACTGGGACATCCAAGACACCTGATACAGAAACAGGTTGGGGTGGGAAGAAGGATGGGCAGGAGCTGGAGGGAAGAGGCAGTCATCACACGACTTAGGATAGGGCACACGGGACTGAATAATACACTACATAAAATAGGTAAACACCCTGATGGCAAATGTAATCACTTGTGGTCAGTCTGAATCTGTCCAGCATGTTCTGTTGGAGTGTAGAGCATATGAGGAGGAAAGGAGGGCACTGTGCAGAGAAGGCCGAGATATGTTTAAATATAGGGAACCTGCTCAGAGTAGTCAAGGATTTAACACCCCCCCTCCCACACTCCAGTAGGTGGCGGTAATGCACCTTCAAGTTGGTTGCCAACCGCAAATAAACACCACAGAAGAAGAAGAAGAAGACGAAGAAGAAGAAGAAGAAGGAGGAGGAGGAGGAGGAGGAGGAGGTTTGGTCTCAGGTTTTTGTTGTGAACCCTTGTCTCCGCCGTGAGTCTTGCTCTTTCCGTTACATAGTTCATCTGATACAACCAGAGTGAACCGCCAGAGCCCGTGTGTTTAGATAAACTTGTTTAAGCGAACTTAGTGTAAGTTTTCGGGACGTTTAATTGCAGGCTCATCCTCCTTAGCTAAGAATGCTAATGAAGTTAGCTTAGCGTGCTAGCGGCAAATAGACATAGACAGAGCTCGACCAGTGCTAGTCGGAGTGACTGAAAGACCAAGCTTTTTTCATAGGCCAGCAGTGTCCAGATAAACCTGTCTGAATGGACTCTGTCTTTTTCCCTTTCCCTGAAAAAAAGTGAATGACCGTCTGGTCTTTTACGAAGCTAATGAAGCCAGCTTGCTAGCTGGAAGTAGACGGAGGCGGCGGTATCCAGTAACGCGGCGCACATCAGAGTGAACAAACCTTTATCGGAGTGTGTCTGGAGGAAAAGTTGCTGTGATTTAGGAAAAAAATGTCTAAAGTTAAAATGCTGAGAGCTTTTGTCAACCAGCGACTAACTGCGGCTGCTGAAGAGATCTTTGAGCTGTTTGAAACAACGATAGCAGAGTACGAGGAGAAACTTGAGTTCAGTTCAAAAGAGAATCACCGACAACGGAAACTACTGGACGCTGTTTACAACCCTGTCCGGTTACACAGAGCAGGTTTGTAGTGGTTTTATTGTTTTATCGCTTTAATTTTATTGTTTTATCGCTGGAGGAAGTAGTCAGATCCTTTACCTATTGCTGAGTACCGTTACATTTACTTAAGAAATGTAGGCTACTTAATCATACTTGTTCTTGATGTTATTTTAATAATGCAACTTTATCCTGATACCCTTTAAATACTGTTTAGAGTGTAAGTTTTCATCCCCTTCTTGTCCAGCGAAAACCACGCTTCTCCAGATTTGTTGATTTAAATTTGAATGTTTTTGATAAACCGAAGTATAAAGTGTCCGTCATGTGTTGAGAAAATTCTCCTACAAAATAAACCCTCTGAAAACCCTCGTGAATCAGCTGGAAAATGTATCGTCACGTAGCTGAAAACAGGGCTGTTTTCCTTACACAGTGAAAAGCTGACTTTTTAAGAGTTTTGTAATTCTCACAGGACAGCAACACTATAAGTATATGATACTCTTATAGAAAATATAATGCACTGCTGTACAATAAACTATCCCACATTATATAACAACCTAGATGCTTGATTAAATGTTGGAATACATTTTTGCAGACCATAGATATTGAACATTTTATCATGTACCAAATATTCATTTAGTCATGCATATCCTGTTTGGGGGTGCAGGGGGTTGGTGCCTATCCCAGCTGACATTGGGCAAGATGCGGGGTACACCCTGGACAGGTCGCCTCACTATCACGGGGCTGACACATAGAGACAGACAACCATTCATGCTCACATTCACTCCTCCGGCCAATTTTAGAGTCACCGATTAAGATGACCTGCATGTCTTTGGACTGTGGGAGGAAGCCGGAGTTCCTGGAGAAAACCCACGCTGACACCGGGAGAAAATGTAAACTCCACATAGAAGGGCTCCTTGGGTTCAAACTAGAAACCCTCTTGCTGTGAGGCGACAATGCTAGCCACACACTACTGCTTGTGTTTTGGCAAAAAAAACACTTTGTCATGGTTAAGAAAAGATTATGTCTTGCCTTAAAATCTAGCTTATGGTACCACAATCACACTGGTAAGGCTGCAGTGTCTTGCTAAAAAGCAGTACTTTTTTGTTTGTTGATCTCCAACAGGGGTCTGCAGCTTGGCTGCTGCCTTGCCCAGCTGGCATCATCCACCATCCCCTCCACCTCCAGATGACTAAGTCAGCACACTTACATGTAATAAGAACTATGCCACGTAGAAACATTGATATGATACCAATGAAACATACAAATATACCCATGGTTTGCACAAACATACAATGCCAATAATTTATTCTGGTGACTGAGCTGTATGTAAGAGTTCAAATTTGAGACAAGTTTAATAATTTTGTACTCAAAGCGTCTGGATGCTAAAAGGGGAATTTGCCGTATGAGTATAGTGGAATCTGCAAGTCATACGTCATCCTTCAAGCTTGAAGAGGTGTGCTATTATAAACATCACAGTAAGCTAGCCAGTCAATTTATCCTTTATTTTACCATAACTGTTGCATCATAGCCTTAGTTAAATCTCTCTGTGTAGTTGCCCTTAACATTAGTTTACTGCGTTATTTTCTTATCCACAGTGAATTTCACCTAATCCCATGGCAGAAATAACACAACACAGTGACTGTCTTTCTCACTTGCTGGCCTGGCCACAGCACACCAAAGAAAGGACAGATATGTGACTGAGATCCTTAATCTTAAATGCAGTTTCAGGACATGTTCAAGTTTGCACTGTCCACCAGCATCAGCCTGTAACAGTCTGGACACTTGGAAGTGCGCAACTTCCAGATTAAAAAGTTGACAAGTCCCTTTAGAAAAAATAAAAAGCATCACAGAGCTGCCCAGGGTGGGGTTGGTGTTGAGCAGAGGCGAGAGCAGCCAGTGCTGGTGGACGGTGCACCTACAAAACTTCCCATGACTCCATTTTAAGCAGCGGACCTCAGCAACATATCTGTCCTTCCTTTGACAGACTGTGGCCAGCATGTGGCTGTGCAGCTTCCCTGTGGAGCAGCCAGACATTAAATAAGAGAGCAAGTGAAAGAGAGAGTCGCTGTGTTGTGCTAATTGTTGTCTCATTTGTGCTCTGATAAACAGTAAATTCATCAAAGTAAGTGCCATACTGCTGTTTCTAAACTACTGTAACTGAGATGTTGCTATGGTAATGGATTATTAACCACATCCCCATTCTCTGTTTAAGAAAAATTATTAGCTGTTAAACAGTAAGGAAAAGTGACTAGAGGAGGACTTTAAAGTTACTGTATGCAACATTCAGATCATTAGCAGTATACTTCCCCTTACATTAATAGGCAGAGTGGAGACTATTAGAATGAATTTGCTTCCAAGATTTCTCTTTCTTTTTCAGACTTTACCAATTGCTCCTCCTAAATCTATGTTCATTCTTATAGACCGCCTCATCGCACGATTTATATGGCAGGGTAAGAAGCCTAGGGTCAGATATAAAGTATTACAATTAGCAAAATCAAAAAAATTAGGAATGCCCAACTTGAAAAAGTACTGGATAGCGTCACAATTAGGAGCAATGACAGTGTGGTTGTCAGATGATATAAATGGCTCAATGTGGAAAAAAGTTGTAGTATTAATATACCTCTGTCAGTGATCCTATTATCCTATTACTAGGATTAAATCAATCAGAGATTTTCCAGGAGAATGGTCAAAGACCACCTATGTGGCTCGGAAAGAGGTACAGCAAATTTTTAAGCTACCAAGAGATCTCTCTATCTTAAGCTTGATAAGCCATATTAAAGACTTCTTGCCTCTAAAACTTGATGTAGGTTTTAAAAATTGGACACATCTGAACTTAAACTTTATACATCAGTTATTCAGTAATAATATCTTTAAAGCTATAGTGCGTAACTTCTGTCGCCTCCCAGCGGATAATGCGTTATTACAACTAATAAGCTGGCGGCACTTCCATGTACACAGAGTAACACTCGCCAGTCACCACACACCGTGTACACAGAGTAACACTTGCCTTTGTGGTAGGATCCACTTCTGAACCGTGTCTCGGCCGCTTCTCCGCCATGTTGCTTTCTCTTTCTACCTGCACTCTACCTCTTGCTATGACACTCTCCGCTCTTCCTCCCCCTCCCTTCTTGTTGTGAGGAAGCATTTGCTGTGTGCCAGTGCGGGAATGTCGCCGGTCGACACGCATACTAAAAATGATATATATTGAAAAATACTGCGAGATGTTAGAGGAGCCGATCGGCTTAATCAGCATTGTGTCATCTCCTCTAGTAGTGGCTTGGGTGAAATGGACATTTACAGACCTGTAGAAGTTACGCACTATAGCTTTAACTCATTCGACCAATTAAGGGCAGATTTTAATTTCTGTAAAACAGAACTATATAGATATCTTCAGTTTAGAAGTTTTATATTTGACCACCCAAATGGGAACAGATTAACAGAGCCCTCTTTCATAGAATAATATTTATCAAAAATTCAGGAAGGAAATCATATACATAAACTAATTACCATTATATATATATAGAATCTTGGCTTCGATGACTATGGATAATACTTGTCATGTGACAGAAAAGTGGGACAGAGAGTTACTGAAATTACAGAAATTACAGAAATTACTGAGGATCAGTGGCTAAAGATCTGTGTTCAGATACATACAGTTACTAATGCCAATTTGTGGCGAGAGTTTCAATGGAAGATAGTCAATAGATTTTTTTTAGAACACCTCAAAGTGTGGCAAAGATTAATTCAAATCAGACAAGTATGTGCTGGAGGGGATGTGGTGAGACCATAGCTACTCATTTGCATATGTTTTGGCAATAGAGACAGAGCGCAATGCGTCAAAATCTGAAAGCCACGCCCTCAAAGGGGAAACAAAGGCCACTTTCCCCTCCGCTTCTTCGCTCGTTCGCTGTCATTCTACCTCCGGAGCCGCACCTTCAGGTCTCCTCGATTGAATTGCTAGCTAGCTAGCTGAAATTATTAGCTATAGCTAGCTAATGATTAGCTAATAATAAGATGGCAAAGGATTATTTTAGCACGCTATGCCTAACAGAGAGGCAACGGTATATTGATAAGCTTAATATTGCCCGTCTACCTCAGTGTCCCTTCTCCCTACCTTGCTCGTCTTCGAAAAAATATGATGTGGAGATTCTTTTTAAGAAGATGAGCATTTAAGCATGCTCAGCCATCAGCCTGCTCCTACTACCGGCACACATTGTTGTTTTGAGACTTGCCTCTACATGCTGGTAAATTGATAGAAGTGCTAGAGCGGCCCGCTGGAATGGACTGCTTGAATCGCGGAGCGCTGGGCACAATTATAACAAAAGTTGCATTCATACTGTCAATGCTTTAGCTTAACATACATAAATACAGTTAACTGTTACTCTAAAAAATACATTTGGAGGGTTTGACAAAGTGTTTGCTGCACACATAGGCATACCGAGTGTCAGGATCCCACAATTTCTTCCCTGTTGAAACCTCACGTTTTATTGCCTGTATCCACTTTTGTCTTCTACTGTACAAGGTTCCGTTTTTCTCAGTTTTGACACAAATACATTTTAATACAAATAAAAATTCATTCCTATGTATTTGAGGAGATGAACTTAATTGAATGGAGGATCTGTCTGTAAATGCACATTTAGTATAATGAACCTTTATTCTTTTAACTTTTAACACTAAATAAAACTTTGTCACACAGCCAAGCAAAACATGTAACAGTTTTCAGTTTTGTTTGAATGGCATGCAAATATGTTGTACAAAGGTTGCAAGATTTATCTCCTTGTTGAAAACAGTAGAGCTATTAGTTGTTTAAATGTTAATATTAAATTACAGTTTTCTAAGACGTGTATGTATTTCATTATTCTCCACAGAGGTCCAGCAGCTGTTGGTGATTAAGGAAGAGGTTCCTCCTGAGCAGAAGGAGTGGAGATCCAGTCTGGACCAGGAGGACCCAGAGCCCCCACACATTAAAGAGGAACAGGAGGAACTCTGGAGCAGTCAGGAGGGAGAGCAGCTTCAAGGGCTGAAGGAGGCTGATATCAAGTTCACATTCACTCCTGTCCCTGTGAAGAGTGAAGAACATGACGAGAATGCTCAGTCCCCACAGCTTCATTCAGCTGGAGGACCAGAACCAGCCAGGAACTCAGACCCAGATAGTCCTTTACAACCAACTACTGATGACAAGACATCACACTCTGAACCTGAGACTGATGACAGTAGAGACTGGGAGGAGACTCAGGAACCTCAGTCAGGTTTAAACCCTCTGCAAAACAGTGAGGTACCTCTAAGTGAAAAAACACCAATTAGCTCCTCTGAATGTGCTGGAAGGTTTGACCACAAGGGACACCTGCAGAAACACACTGGGATCCAAACGGGGGAGAAACCATTTAGTTGCTCCATCTGTGGTAAAAAGTTTTCTCAAAAGAGGTCTTGGAAGACTCATATTAGACTTCATTCAGAAGGAAAACGTTTTAGCTGCTCAGTTTGCAAAGTGAAGTTCAATTTTAGAAGCAATTTGGTTAAACACATGAGAAGCCATACCGGGGAGAAACCATTTAGTTGTTCATTTTGTAGTAAAAGATTTGCAGTGAGTGACCATCTGAGACAACACTTTAATATTCACACAGGGGAGAAACCATTTAGTTGTCAATTTTGTAACGTAAGATTTGCTGCCCAGGGAAATCTGAGACGACACATGACTGTCCACACTGGGGAAAAGCCATTCAGTTGTATAGTTTGTGGTAAAAGATTTGCACACAAGGGAGATATGAAACGACACCTGCTTGTTCACACAGGAGAGAAACCATTTAGTTGTTCAATTTGCGGAAAGGGTTTCACACAAACTGGAGATTTGAGACGACACTTGACTGTCCACACAGGGGAGAAACCATTTAGTTGTTCAATTTGTGGCAAAAGTTTTACTCAAAAGGGAACTCTGAAACAACACCTTACTGGCCACACAGGAGAGAAACAATTTAGTTGCAATGTTTGCAATAAAAGTTTCTCCCGGTTGTATAATGTCAAAAAACACAAGTGTGTCGGGGAGAGCAGCAGTAATAAGTGAAGCTGCAGAGATTCTTGTTGTTAATTTTTTTTCCAGCAGCAACAAAGTACTGGGGGCAAGACTGGTTTCAACACTGGTTAGCCAAAACTGTCAGACTAAAGGCTGATACAGACTCAATGGCCCAATTCCAATTCTCCCCCTTGGTCCTACCCCTAGTTTTGGGGTGCCCTTGGCAGAGTATTGGCCCTTTAGAATGGAGCCGCAAGGGGCAGGGTTTGAAATCTTAAACTTGGAAATGGGATGCCACTTGTTGTTACGTCACCAGTAGCATTAGTCAGCCGAAAGTGATAAAAGAAATTCTGTTGAAACTTATTGCTAAAAGTAGTTAATATCCGGTTGAAACAGCTTTAGTTAGCTAAAAGTGATGAATAAAATTGGTTGAAATTGTCAGCTGAAAGTAGTTATTAACCAATTGAAGTAACATTAGTCAGCTAAAAGTAATAAATACTAGTTTAAACAGTTCATGAAAAGTAACTGATAAGTGGTTAAAATAGCATTACTTTGCTAAAAGTAATGGATAAATGTTGAAACTATTTGTTAAAAGTAACTGTTAAGAGGTTGAAATAGCACTCTTTAGCTAAAATCAATGGATTATGGTTGAAACAGATTGACAAAAGTAACCAATAAGCAGTTGAAATATCATTGCTAATAAGCAATGACTAGATGTTAACGAAGTTCAAAGTAATTTGTAAGTGGCTGAAACTGCAATAGTTAGCTTAAAGTAACTGACAAATGGTTAAAACAGCATAAATTAGATTAGCGTTGAACTATGATTTTAATTTATGGCTTTTTTCCCCTGCCCCGATAGCAGCCATGTTGCTTGTTTCGCCAGAGACGGAGATCAACCCTGCTGTTACTTTGCAGTATATATAGTTCAACATTAAAGTTATAACTGTACTGATTGTAGATTGTCCTTGTGTTTATATGTTTGGTATTATGTTTTGTATTTACTTTTTATTATGTTTGTATTGCTTATGTTTGTCATTATTTGTAAGGACCCCCTCGAAAATGAGATGGCACATCTCAAGGGGCTATCCTTGAAATAAAGAATAAAGATTCGAACAAATTGACAGTGACATTGCATCTGCAGTTTTCTGTCGTTACTTTTATAATTATGTCCTATTTTTGTTTTATTTATGATTATTTTGTTCACTTAAACAATTAATATTCCTATTATTACTACTGTATGTGACTGGTCATCGGTTACTTGAATACGCTGTCATCTGTCATTGCGACTTCTGTCAGCTGTCAAGCTGTCATCTGTTTGGGGCTTAGTTGATGTGACGTATTGTCTGCTGTGCAGAGGATTGTGGGTCAGAAAAGCCAGAAAAGCATGCTGGCTTGCATACTAAGAAATCAGACGGGATGTAGTAGAATATCCTGGGCCGGCATTCACAAAGAATCCTAAGACTAAGTAGCTCTTAGTGACGTCATTCTAAGAAAAATCTTAGAAATCCTCGAATTCTAAGATTTTTCTTAGAATTTTCCCTTGGTAAGATAAAAATTATTCACAAAGCATCTTAGGCTTTAAGAGAGCTCCTAAGGTGAAAAACTGTTAAGAGGAGGGAGGAGGACTTTTAAGAAGCCTAAGAGTGTCTTAAACAGAGAAGATGGCGGAAAGACAGAGAGGAAGGAGAGATATTCTCTGTATATTAAACGACAGTGATTTAATAAGACGCTACTGGCTTGATCGTGCAGGGATAATGTTTGTGGTTGACCTCATCAGGGATGAGCTTACTTTTCCCACCCAGCGTAGTAAGGCAATAACGCCCGCTTTGGACTGCAGCACGTACCAGCGCTTCTCACATTCATCGCTTGTGTGTAAAAGGAGAGGGAACGACGCATTGATTTGTCGGGCAATGCGCTCCCAAGTCTGCCTCTTCCCTTGTGCCGTGATCCCGGGACCGAATTTCCCTCTGAAAGCTCCGTTGTTCTCCTCCACGAGCTGCGCCAACAGCAGGCACTGCTCTTCTGTCCAGTTCGGCTTTCTCATTCTTTTTTTCTCCATTTCATTCGTTGTTTTGCTCATTCTGCCAAATCAAACCGCTTTTTACCAGGAGGCCAGCAATCACAGTAATTGCTGACAGCTGAGTCTGCGTCCACCATTAATATCAAATAGATTAAGTAGTAAAATTACCAGCATGGCGAGTAAACATAACAAGCAAATCAATATAATAATCGGCATGTGAATGAGGTACGCTCAAACATTTTGAAGCTGTGTAACAATTAATTTAATTTTGCTGAGTTTCATCATCATGACATAAAATTATTTTCACGATTACGTTTCTTAATACAGTCTAAGTTCTATGATCGGTTCATTTCACTGTCCATTCATTACTAGGAGCGCATTTGGTTTTCTTTTTTCTTTTTGTAACAACCAATCACAGCTTTTAGAAGACTGCGTCATACCTAGCAACGGGGTCAACCACACCTCCTCACTAAGATAAAAGTTTCTGTCCCCTCCTTGCTCAGAGTTGCTCTCAGAAACTTCCTGAATCACTCTTAAGCTAAGATTCCTTGCTAGGAATTTTTAGGCTAAGTTAGTCTTTGTGAATACGGGCCCTGGTATTTTTGGCATACTGCATTTCACATACTATGTATTGGGATACACTAAATCTTTTTCTGGTGTACTATATAATATTGGGTATTTGAATGCATAGTTCAACTGCCGTAGTCCGAAAGCACTCTGGGAATTTTATTGTGCCACTCTGTTTGGACAGCCACCTGGAGGGGTTGATGACCACTATTCCTTGATCCCCCAACAGAAACAGGACACTGTACCCTTTAGAGCAGCACTCAATATGGAGTGGTGGGGCCACAAGGAGGAGAATTGAGATTGGGCCTAAATCAGCCTTTTTTAGATAAGATGAAGTTACACAATTATTTAAATTAGGTAGCCTATGTCCCAGTTAAGTTTTTCGACCCCTGACCCTGATCCAAATAATTTAATATTAAATATCTGCCGATACCAAGTCCTGATCCCATACTTGTGTTTTCCTAGATAATACCTGAATGCAAGCTGTCCCTTTGTTTTTTTTAACACAGAACAACAAAACATGGAATAGCAAAATCTTGGGAAGTTTTTTGGCTCTGTCTGCTGTCTTGAGGGAATTTCCCTTTCCCTTAAAGAGTTTCTTCAATTCAGCCTTTGCCTGGGTTGTGAACTGTGAATGAACTCTATTCTGTAGCTTCTTTGCATTGGACTTCATACATGGGTGAGCTGTCCAGATGGAGGGCAGGCAACTGGAGTCAAAGGCCCCGATCACACAGAAAGCATTTTGCAGATTGCAAAATGCGAGGCGTGCCGCACTGCGCTTTTTTTAACTGGATGCCACGACTGAAAAAGAGCTCGCTGTGCCTTTTTATTGTTGCCGGGCAACCATGGCATCACATCCTTACACTAATCTTCCTGTGTAATTAGTCATTTGGTTATTTATTTATTTCCTAGTAATTAGTATTTAGTTCCTAAAATGTTGAATGTACCTACTGTAACTCTGGTTGAGGGTGAGAGGCTGTCAGCAAACAGTTTGTTGGGCACAGGGAAACGGAGATCCTTAAAAAGAGGGTGGATCATGGGGAGTACCACCAGTTAGTCCAGGAGCTTCGCCTCCATGATGGCCATTTCTAGGCATATTTAAGGATGATTCGGGGGCAGTTTGACAACCTGCTGTCTATCGTCAGTCTGTATAGCTCTGGGTATCCAGCAACCACTACCACCAGTTTCTCCTCCATTGTTTACCAACTGTAAACTTATTTTTGTGACCACCACAGAAGACCCAACACCTCTCAAGTCATTCATTTGGAAAGTGGGATTAAAGATTACCAAAAAAGAGATGACGTGGAGCGCTTTTTCGCTCTGAGTTGAATTTTTTTCAACTCAAGGAGTTCAGAGAGCTCCGGCAAAAACACCAGGCACCTGGAGTGCAGAAACATGAGGTGCGTTGCAGCGCAACAACCATGAGCAAAAAGCTTAATTCGCATTAAAAACAATTACAAAAAGGCCCCTCCAGCTGCTAAAATGCTTTCTGTGTGATCAGGGCTAAAGACTACCCAGCACTGCACAAATGCCCATGTTTTCTGTTGTTAACAGCTGTTCCAATCAATACAACTGGAAAAAATAAAGGCCACTTTAAATCCCAAAAATCGTAGGACGTAAAGGGGAGAAGAAACAAAAAACACACAGAGAAACAGCGGCAGATGTGAATGAAAAACCTCCATCTTTACTCTGGAGACGCGGAGTCAACTTATTTTAAACGTAAACGTCAAAGCCTTGTGTTAAACGTGCCTCGAGTTGGGTGCAATTGTAATGTGCTGGGACAACTTCTCAGTGTTTTAAGCCAAGACAGATTTTTAACAGCATTTCACCAGACCTCTGGTAGCAGTCGACCAGATCTGATCTGATCCCGATCAGTTAAAAAGTATCCTGAGCACCCCTGATACTAATCTTTTAGGTTGGATCTGGACAGCCCTAATTTAAATTCTGTTTTTAATTGTGTCAAAGTTATTTTGTTTTATTCTGGGCAATCTGTTATTCAAATACATACATATACACATATAATGGTTTTAAGACAGGATTTACAGCACAGATACACTCAGCCTTGTAAGGGATTCCTTGAAGCCACCTGAGTAGTACAGCATTTGCCCTGGCAGTACTCCTGTAATGGATTAGCTCCATGTACTGTCACTACATGAGCTAGCTGAGCAGTAGCGCCATCACATGTTGAGAAGTTGTCATGTTGTCTTCCTCAGCAGCGGGCAGCAACATCCTCTTCTTGCCCCTGGCCTGTAATGTTATGCAGCTGTTATCAGCCTGCTGTTGCACATCTGTCCACGTTACTCTTTCCTCCACTTTATTTGCTGTCGCCGGCAAACTGTTGTTCTTGTTGTCACTGCTGCTAAGGCTAAAAACACTTTGAAGCATCAGCCATGATACTTTTTTCCTTTTGTCTCTGACCTTTTCTGCTCCACCTTTTCATTTTTTTAGCTTCTTTATCCAACTTGTTTGTTGTCCCGTTTACTTTTCACTTACTTTGTTCTTTGTGTCGTATATCAACTTGATGGGGTTGGGGGAGATGAATCACAAGTATTTAAGACAAACTTAGATTGGACACAATTCAACACCTGAGGTGTCGGATTTACCCAGATGCCTTTTTAAAGGAGAAGTCCAGTATTTTGCACTTTAAGCCCCATTTCTGGGTTGTTTATGATGAAATAGAGTGGTTAAGACCAAAATTGTGACGATTGCTCCTTTTCAGAGAACTTGGCTCTCCCCTGCCTGGCTTAACAGTGCTGCCGATGGCCATGTGTATATCTGTCCTAAAACCACCCTAAACGTTCATTTTCAAAGCCATGAACCTCACCAGGTGGTCAGTGGTGTTCGTTGATGTTCTAACATAAAAATCGTAGCAAACTGTGGTTTCCATCCTGTTTTCGCTATTCATCTCAATTGTGGATCTATTTTTTCAGCTGCCTCACACTCGTGTGTAAACTTCCGCTTGATCGTTCGTTTGACCCTGAAGCGTTATACACTCCAGCCCACTTGATGGCGATAAAGCTCCTTTACGTGGGTGTCGCCAACCGGCAGGAAACCATTGTAATGTAATAGGACACAGAGAAGAAGCAGAAGAAGCAGGTTGGCGTTGTGTTCAAAGGTATCGTACTGCGAAGGTTGTTTACAAGTGAGTAATCCATTGTGCAGTTGTTTAAACTTATTACAAAACTTTTTGGTTCGTTCTCGTTCTTCCTCCAGGAGCGCACACAGCACTGTGGAGCTGGCACTTTAGCTGAGCTGAATACCGGACTTCTCCTTCAAGATGGGGTTCAGATTTTTCAAGCCTGTCTACATTCAATACTTGGATCCCATATGAATGATGAAAGACTCTTTGGTCGTTGTAATTGTCCCTCAACTGTGTCTCTTTGTCCGGAGACTTGTGTAGGATTGTTACAGATGTTTTGTCTCGGCAAGAAATCCAAGTGATTACCACGACATATTCCTTCGCCCAGCTCAGATGGAAAACAGTGTGTGGAAAGAGGGAATTTTCTGTTGATCAACAAATTGATAAATCATTTCAGCTCTAACGTTGTATTCTGTCGGATAATTTAGTCTTTAAAAATGCATCATGTTTTTGGAGTTCCTTGTGTTTTGTGTGCGAAATCTTAATTTGGAAAGTGACTACAGCTGTCAAATAAATGTATTGCAGTATTTTCATTTGATGCTACTTTACATTTCTTCACTATATTACGGAGGGGAAGCTTGTACTACATTAACATGACATCTATGGTTATACCGGTGGCATGCTGAGTTAAATTTTACATTGAACACATACAGTGACACATTTAATCACAACATGTATTAAATGATGATACCAGAGGCAAGACTCGAAAAACAGCATGCACATACCAAAATGACAATGTGCTGGACAGAAGAACAAATACAAAAAGCACACCAGAAACTGCTACTTTTGGAAATTTTAATAGAATCACCACATGTGATGTTTTTGGCACCAGCCCTTAATCAGACATGAACAAGATAAGGAGACACACCTCTCTCTCTCCCTCTCTCTCTCTCTCTCTCTCTTTTATATATATATATATATATATATATATACATACAACCAATGGTGGTCGCCCAACAGATCATGTGATAACACATGTACATGATTGTTTCTATGTCTGTTTTTAATTTTTTTATTTGTGTCTATATGGACCATACTGGTCTGAAATATAATAAAGTAAAGTATACAGAAACTGGGTACAACACACTGCAAAACCAGTTCAAAATGACTTCACAGGAATATAATACATTTACAAAAAAAAATACATTTAGAAAAAAGCCAGCGGTGCCTAGAGTATCACCTTGAATATCACAACTGAAACATCAGATTAAAAAAATGTTAAATGACATGCAAATTCAAGGTGAAATTAAAAAAGAAGCTACTTTTATCATTCATGTATTTTTTTAATACATTTTTGGGGATTTTATTTTAAATAGAGGCACCTCTAATACTACAAAAAGTAGTGATACTCAATGAGAAATACCACAGCGATGTAATAAACACATTTGTTTATTTGATTTGTTTATTACATCGGCTCAGGCTTGCCCTGTACCAGCCCCTAGTTAGGCTGACTTAGGCCTAGTCTGCCGGAGGACCCCCCTATAATACACCGGGCACCTTCTCTCCTTCTCTCTCTGTCTCTCTCTCTCGTATTCTATTACTGCATCTTGCTAACTCGGCCATTCTGGATGTCACTAACTCGGCTTCTTCTCCGGAGCCTTTGTGCTCCACTGTCTCTCAGAATAACTCATATCACAGCGGTGCCTGGACAGCGTGACGTGTGTGGTTGTGCTGCTGCCGTGGTCCTGCCAGATGCCTCCTGCTGCTGCTGCCATCATTAGTCATTAGTAATACTTCTACTGTTATTATACACATATGACTATTGTCACACATGTATACTGCCAGATATTAATACATACTTTCAACATATTGTACCACAGTAGCCAGAACTATAACTATAATATTATTACTTTCAATAATGTTGTTGTAACCTACTGTCATTACCTGCATCTCTCTCTCTCTCTCTCTCTCTCTCTCTCTCTCTCTCTCTCTCTCTCTCTCATTGTGTCATGCAAATTACTGTTAATTTATTATGCTGATCTGTTCTGTACGGCATCTATTGCACGTCTGTCCGTCCTGGAAGAGGGATCCCTCCTCAGTTGCTCTTCCTGAGGTTTCTGCCGTTTTTTCCCCCGTTAAAGGGTTTTTTTGGGGAGTTTTTCCTTATCTGCTGCGAGGGTCATAAGGACAGAGGGATGTCATATGCTGTAAAGCCCTGTGAGGCAAATTGTGATTTGTGATATTGGGCTTTATAAATAAAATTGATTGATTGATTGATTGATTGATGTTATGAAATAATTTTATTCTTGTAAAAGGGTGTAAGGGTGTAAAAGGAAAAAACACCAACTCAGCTAAGCTCATGGGTGCATTTCATAAACAGGGAGAGGCGAAACATATTCAAGAAACGCAAGCAAGTCCAGTTACCTACGATATAGCACTTATGATTACCATGGCCTGGGTGACTGAGAATCTTCACTGAAACGCTACATAAACAAGAAAAAGTCGGGATAACACAGTGAAGGCTTGTTTTCATTATTGTCCCTTTGAGGAAGTAGTAGTAAGTGTAAATGGAATGTCTCCTCCAACAAGTAACCCAAAATATGACGGGTCGGTCTGCTGCACAACCAATAATGAGTTACCTGGGTCCGTTAATGAAAGTTTGGTCACTTTTAGAGGGAAATGTGGTCATTCTCAGGAGAAGGAGGGAGATAGGGTGGTGGAAATGGTGAGGGCTGAAGAGGAATTTCGGGTTATTTTCAAGTTGAAAGATCAGGTGGGAGGAGGGTTTAGAGCCATGAATCTGCTTAAAGTTGCAGATTCCCTAAGATGTGTTGGTGAGGGAATAGATGCTCAGATCTTACCTAATGGAGCAATGCTTGTGTTATGCAGAAATATGGATCAAGTAGGAAGAGCAAAGAAAATCGGGAAAATATTAGGGAAAAAGGTGGAAGTGGTAACCCCTGTAAAGAAAACTGAGATAAAAGGTGTCATTTATGGAGTGTGTGCTGACATGACAGAGGAAGAAATTAAGGAAAATATAAAAGGAGGAAAAGCAATGGCTGTGAAGCAGTTTAAAGCCAAGGAAGGTGGAAACAAAAATACCTGTGTTTATAACTTTTGATGGAAGTTTTCTTCCAGCTCGGGTCTTTATAGGATGTTTGTCTTTCCAAGTCAGACCCTATCAAAGACCTCCTCAGCATTGTTTCAAGTGTCAGAGGTTTGGGCATATGGCAGCTTCATGCAGGGGAAACAGGCGTTGTGCTAAATGTGGAGAGGATCATGACATCCTGAAATGTGAAGTACCAGCTCCTAAATTTTGGAGGAAGTCATATGGCTTAATTTAAAGAGTGTGGACACTTTCTGAAAGCGAGACAAATTCAGGAAGCCAGAGACCAGCATAAAATCTCCTATGCAGAAGCATTAAAGAAAATGGAAAGAACAAGGGTTTCCGGCCCTGTTGTGAGAGTGCCTGTGTGCGGACCTTTGGTGTCCAGGCAGCCTGCACCTGTACTCTCTAATCATGAAATTGTAATCAACAAGGAGGCCCTTCTTGCATTTATGGTTGACGTTATGGTGCCCAGGAAAAGAAATCAAGGTCAGATGTTATTAAGTTTGTGTCTGAAGTGGCAGTGAGATTTCTGGGAGTAAAGAATTACTCTCCTCCGTCACTGCATTATGAGGACTAGTCAAGTGCTAGTAGTCCAGGAATCAGCAAGTCACTCAGAGAGTGGTTGAGGAGGGGGAAGATATGGATGATGATGTTTAATCTCTTCATGATGAATAGTGATGGATCGATTGATGAATTAAATGATTCTTTGAGTAAAATGATTTTTAATGCGGCCTTAAGGACACAACCATGTAGGGAGATCCCAAAGGAACGAGTGATTGTCCCATGGTGGAATAGTGATTGTGACAAGGTTGTGAAAGAAAGAAAACAAGCTTTTAAGATTTTGCATAGAAACCCTACTCTGGAAAACATCATTAATTTTAAACGTTGTAGGGCAAAGGCAAGGAAAACAATAAAAGATGCTAAAAGAAAGTGCTGGAGGGCATTTTGTGGGACCCTACATGGAAAGGCCATATAGAAAGGGTAGTTTGTAAGTGTGAGAAAGTGATAAATATCCTCCGAAGTCTAGCTGGAAGTGACTGGCGTGCAGAAAGGGACACCCTGACTATGATTTACTATGCTATGATAAGATCCATCTTAGATTATGGATTTGTGATATTTAGTTCAGCTGCCAAATCTGTTCTTTGTAAGCTGGACTGGGTACAGACTAAGGCCTCGAGAAAGAATGTATAACTGGATATTTCAGAGGAGTTTGAAATAGTAAATGGCATTCCCCAAGGTAGTGCTATTAGCCCAATCCTGTTTAACATAATGATAAATGATATCTTTCAAAATGTTGGTGGAGATATTGAGTCATCACTTTATGCATATGACGGGGCGATATGGAAAAGAGGGAGAAATATCATCCATGTGATTAATTGCATTCAGAGGGCTATACAACAGGTAGAGAGATGGTCTTATGATTGGGGGTTCAAGGTGTCTGTTACAAAGTCTTGCTACATGCTCTTTACCAGGAAAAGAAAGCTGAGATATACAGCTTAAATTATATGGGCAAAACATGGATAGGGTAATTGAATTCAAATACTTAGGATTGTGGTTTGATGAGAAATGTATATGGAGAAATCATGTTAAACAGGTGGAGACTAAATGTAAAAAAGTGTTGAATCTCAAGAGATCAGTGGCGGGATATGCATGGGGAGCAGATAAGCAATCTTTAATGGATATTTATAGGACCTTAATACGATCTAGCCTTGATTACAGTTGTATGGTGTATGGAGCTGCAGCTAAGAGTGTTTTGGAAAAGTTAGACAGAATTCAGTTCAGAACTATATGAATCAGTATTGGTGCAGTTAAAACAACTCCAACTAATGCATTACTGGTGGAAGCAGATGAATTACCATTACACCTAAGATGATAAAAGTTGTCTTTAGCCTATTGGGTTAAACTAAATGGATCTGGAGAAAATTAATCTGCAAAAGCAGTACTTTCTGATTGCTGGGAGTATTCACAACAGCATAAAGGGAGAGGGTCTAGGTATCTTTGGATAATTCGTAATTCATTTCTAATTGACAAATGAAAAAACATTATTTTGATATTTCTTTCAAAACGAAGAACGGAAAAACCATTTTTGATGTCAGAAAACCGTTTTTGATGTCAGAATCAAAAAACGAAAAACCAATCAAAACCGAGCCGTTTTTTCGTTATTGATTATTCCTTTTCTCCTCATTCATTTTGGAATGAAGAATGAAACAACCCATGGAGTCACGTGGTTTTTTGTTTCTCAATTTAAAACCAAAAACGAAAAACGAAGTCACGTGATCTATTGCTTTTTTTGTTTCTGTTGAAAGATGTGCTTCGAAATAAGACAAGTAGTGTACCTTCAAACTTGGTTTAATAACCACAGTGCCGAGGATGCAAACATTACAGACAGTGCAAGAATACGTCTGTATCGAACTCCAAACCCAGTAACGCACATGAGCAGGATATCAGCTTACTTCCTGAAACTACGGCATCCTTAACAGCTCA